CACACACACATACATACATACACATACAGAAATTCAAAAAGGTTTATTTATGCACACTTGGTCGCCGATGCATACACTAATTAACATGATGCGATTGACCGGTTGAGTGATGCATTCTACTGTATGTATGTATATATGTGTGTGTGTGTGTGTGTGTGTCTGTATATGTGTGTGTCTGTGTGTATGTGTGTTTGTATGTGTGTGTGTGCGTGCGTTTATAACGATGAGAAAGGACAATGATGACGACGATGATATCCCCAGATGTTCTCGAAGATGACAGACAATGATGATAAAAACCAAAAATGATGGTGATGACGAAGTTGATAATGTTACCAAAGCATGTGACGTCACACACTGGTTTTGTTTGTATAAATTATTTAAAGCCCTATCAAGTTTTGACAATTTAATACGTACGTGTCTGCTAGCTGCAACTGCAAACCATGTTATATTCATCTTTTGTTTGCCCTGTTTGCTTGTTAGTTCGTTCGTTTGTTTGTTTGTTAAGTTTTCCCTATTTTGTTTACAAATGTTTGTGTGTTCGCCATGTTCGTTAAGTTTGACATCTTTTAACAACTGTGATGTCATGCTATTTTGTTCGTTCGCTCGTTTGTTGTGTTGCCGTGTTTTCACAAGTGTTTGTGTGTTTGCTCTGTTGACTGTTCACATCATTACCATCATTATCATGATCACAGTATCATCATCATCATTTTCATCTTCTTCATTTTCATCACCATCCCAGCAGCAATAACAACAACAACAACCAACAACAACAACAACAGAACATCCCTCGCTAATTATTTTATATTGAATCCAGATGATGACTAAGAAAGCAAAGTAGTTGACGGCTGTTGTCGTAGTTTTTGTAGTAGCAGTAGCAGTAGTAGAGGCAGCAGCAGCAGCAGTAGTAGCAGCAGCAGTAGTAGTAGTAGTAAAGGTAGTAGTAGTAGTACTACTACAACAACTACTAGTAGTAGTAGTTTTAATTGTCTTGATATACATATATCTTTACACGTAGACAAACATAAATAGGGAGAGAGATAGAGAAAAAAAAGAGAGTGAGAGAAAGAAAGAAACTCCAATAATACAAACATACACTCACGCACACACATACATGTGTTTACACGTACATCCACACACATAATTAAATTCACACATAAGTTGGACTGTGCCCACAATAAAATAAAATAATTTATTATTGTCAGCAAAGAAGTTTGTAAGGATGGAAGTATTAGTAAATAAATAAATCAATAATACACATGCATGGATGAATGAACGAGTTGATGGCTGAAAGAATGAATGCATGGATGGATGGATAAGCTAGTGAATGAATAAACAAAACAACGAACGATTAACAAATATATAGATGCATGCATGAATGAACGAACGAATGAATGAATGTGCGAATAATAGAATGAATGAATTACTGTTATTTTTATTCTTTTATTTATTGTTATTCAGACGGAACCGAGTTGAAACGTTGAGCCAGTCAAAAGTAACATCAAAGTCGAGTCAAGTTACTGAAACAAAAATAAAAAAAAAGGATCGTCATTTCTTTGATGATGTCATAATCGCGAATATTGTACAGTTTAGCGTCACACAGACACACACATACACACATGCACACACATGCACACACATACACACATGCACACACACACACATACGCTTATTAGCATACACACAATGACACTGTATTTACACATGTAAAAAAGGATGAATTTGTAGTTTTATCTTTCTCTCTCTATTTTTCTCTTCCTCTCTTTCTTTTATTTCTTTCTTTTTAAAATTTTCTTTCTTTCATTTCTCTCTCTCTCTCTCTCTCTTTCTCTCTCTCTCTCTCTCTTCCTCTCTCCCTACCTAATGACCTGAACGTATGTAAACAAACAGTTACATAACAAGGTAATATTCATTTAAACAATGACATTGTATAAATAAACACTGATAAATTTATATAAATGCACGCACACACACGTACATATATACATACGTACACACACACACACACACACACACACACACACACACAAACACACACACATATACATATATACACTCCTATTCAATTTTTTTCTTAGTCATAAAACTATTCCTATCTTTAAACGATTAATCTTTTTTCCCATTATCGGTCTCAGTCACCATGGTCTTAATTGCTCTCCTCATCACCACCATCACCATTTCTTTTGATGTCATCAACTCAGTACGAGAGTGTGAACGCAGTGCATCTGAAGTAGATTGGTGAATGGGGAAGGATGATCCCACATAAGTAGGTACTACCCACTGTGTATAAGTATACATTATACAAGCAGTGTGTCGTGAAAATATCCCACTACGATTCCGGCCCCTCAAAAACATCCGACTCCCAAATCCTGGTTTCCGAATTCCAGAAATTTTTTTAAACTTTTGCATCATAATTTCATCTTATTATCATTACTAAATAAAAAAAGTACTTCAAAAACACTTAAAATCAGTGAATGTAATTTTTTCTCGCAGTAAAATTATTTAATTCTTACGTTTTAAGACATACTGGAAGAAAATTGTGTGATTTAATCCAAACTCATTGGCACATATTTTCAGTATTAAAGATGATTGCTTATCGCATGCTTATTGCATATATTTATCCTTTAAAAATACAATCTTGAAGAAATTTTGTAGAAAAAGAATAAATTTTTTTTTGAACAATAAATAGAATTTTCCACTTGCTTCTTAAAAATTATATATGAGAGTCTTTATAGAATATGCTGTAAATAAGCTGTTATGAATATGCTGAATATGCTGTTAATGCCTCTTATGAAGATACTGCTAAGCCTGTTTAACACGTTATGAACATCAGAGGAACCAACTAAAATATACACGCACACACACACACGCACACACGCACACAAACTTACACGTACACACCTATGTACACATACACATAGATAAATACATATCTACTCCCCCCCACACACATACGTACAAAAATACATACCAAATGATAATAAAAGTAGTGATGAAATATGAAAATTATTATTGTTCAATAATATTATTATCATCATTTTAAACATCGCCGTCGTCATATGGTGTTTGAAAACTCAAAACTTGTTGTAATAAAAAAAAACTTTTTGCAAATTATTCTCACGACAAACAGTTGAAAATATTTCTCATTATTTCATGAATTCACGCACACACACACACACACACACACACACACACATCACCACGCACACATACACACGCACGCACATACGCACATTATTACGATGTTGATACGTTGATGATGTTGCTACCATGCTTAAGTGTAGTTGCACTGGAGATTGTGAACAGATTTTATTTAATATATCTCAAATGAAGACAGACACACACAAACACACATACGAACGCACACACACATACACACGCACAGACATACACACATATGAGTTATTTTTATATGACAATGATCTCCAGCTGATGATGACAGTGATGATGGTCATCTCATATCATTAACAATTTTTACACAAGCTTAATGTTTTATTAATGTTTCCTGAAATTTAATAAATAATAATAAAACAAATCATCACGTGAAACAAATCATCACACTCAATGCATGTGACAGGAAGGGGACCCATTGCATTTGAACCTGGTCACTACAACAGAAGCGCACACAGGCGCCAGGCACCTAAACCATTACACCGTTCTTATTGAAGACATTTTTTTATTTTAGATAACGTTTGATGACACTTCGACGCAGCATTAAAAATGAACAGACTAAACGCTGACGATAAGCCGAATATGGATTTGCTGTCTAGATCTAGAAAACAATTACAGCATTCAATCGCCACATTAACAAGATTATCAACTATAACAACCTCAAAACCAGAAAGGTTAACAAAGTCATCAATCAATTGGAGATCGGAGAAAAAGTTAACAAACACTAAATCCAAGCAGCAACAGCTACCAATAACTCTCTGCTCTCTTCTGACAACTTTTTTTTTTCTCACACTCAACTTCAAATTAGTTCAATGTAACGTTGTAAAATTCGAAATCAAAGAAGAGCAACTCGTAGGTACCAAATTGGGGTTCATTAACGAAAACGTCAAGTCCACTCACTCCTCCTCCTCATCTTCTTCCTCTTCCTCATCTTCTTCCTCTTCCTCATCTTCTTCCTCTTCCTCATCTTCTTCCTCTTCCTCCCCACATCCTTCGTATCCAAACTATAGTGAGAAGACGAAATTTTATTTCAAGCAGAACGATGGATTGTTTAGATTTGATACTACGAAGACCAATCTCATCGTCACAAACAACACCATAGATAGAGACCACATTTGCCGCTATCGGGTTGGTGTCACGTTCATGTTTTTAAATGACTTCAAAATTTTGAAAAAATATTTCTGATTTAGTTTAACAAAAAACCTAAAACCCGACCAGGATCCGTGTGTTTTAACGTACGACGTGTACACGAACATAACGACAACTTCGGTCAACGCTGTGTCCAACAACGGACCGATATTTGTGGCAGGGACTCGCCAACCATTCGCTCACTTCGTCACAAAAGTCCTCGTCACAATTCATGACGTAAACGACAACAGTCCCAAATTTCCAGAAGGAACTCCTAATCCTTTATTTCTGGATATTTTAGAATCGGCTGAACCGGGAAAATTTTATTTGAAACTACCGTCGGCTGAAGATCTGGACGCCGGGCCGAATGGGGAGATAACTTACACGCTGAGGTCAGTGAGGAGTGGGGGCGTCATGAGGGATGACCTCTTCAACCTCTCAAAAGTTTTCGTGGATGAGTCGACGCACGGATTGAAGTTGAACTTGTTGGAGAAACTGGACAGAGAACATGAGCAGGTTTGTGAATATTTTTGTGAATTCATGTAGCATATATAAGTTCATCTTGTATGATATTCACAATTTTTGTAAAATATCTCAAAAAATATTCATGAAAAGTTACTTTGTTTAAATAAAATATCTAGGAAAAAATAAAAAACTTATGAAAAGTACATTTATTTGATGGCACTAACCAAAAAAAACAGCTGTACAAGTTCACACTCGTCGCATCAGACAACGGCAAGTCAAGCAGACAGACAACCCTTGACCTCATCATCAAAATTGTCGATGTCAATGACAACTCTCCACAGTTTGAATCATCCCACTATAGCGTTTCTTTACCGGAAAATTCCAAAGTTGGGACTGAAATCATCCGAGTCTTGGCTACCGACGCTGATGAAGGAATGAATGGAATTGTGAAGTACGGATGGTCGGATGATACGTTTAAAAAGTTTGACGAATTTATCTTTTTTTTCTGATATTTTTTTATTTTATTTTTATTTGTATTATGAATTATTATGCGTTTATTTACCATTATTCAATATTTGTTTTAGGTTATTAAATGCATTTTTTTTCTGATTTTACTATAAATTTATTTTGGCAAACTATTTAAAATTCATATACCGGTGTTTTATTTTGTTAAACCATTGAAAGTTCATACTAATATCTAGAAACATATCTAGTTCTATTTTTATAATAACAGTTTTTTACTTTTAAAATAAAATTTCATTTTGAAATTTGTTATTAAATTTGGAAATTATTTCTCCAGATTTGGAAGTTATTTCTCCATCGACTCCGGGAGTGGATCTATCCGATTAAAAAAGACGTTGGACTACGAGAAGAGTCACCTTTTAGGACCCATCCATCTCTCCGTGATGGCCTCCGATCAGGGAGTCTCCAAAAAATCTTCCTACACCACGGTGACGGTCAGAATCGTGGATGTTAACGATAACGAGCCGTTCATTTACTTCAAGCCGATCCCCAGTTTGGCGTTTGAAGGGGAGGTTGACGGTAGCCAAGCCATGCCCACCGAAGATGATGTCGTTTATTTGCAGGTTCTGTGATTTTAAGAATACCTGAAAACGACAATTTATTCACAATTAATGACTTTTTAAGATTTTAACCATTCATTTTTTATCGTTTTATTTAATAACCTATTTCGAATTATGGCAACCATAACATAAAATTTTAAATAAATCCACCTTTCTTAAAACGGATAGAGAAATTAATTTTCGTTAACATTTAATCAAATAAATTTGAAATAAAATATTATTTTTTTAGGTGCTAGAAAATTCCCCGCCAGGCACAGAGGTCGCCAGGTTCTCCGTGGTTGACAGAGACGAGGGAAGGAACGGTCAGATTGCATGCGACATCAGGGACGTATCCCTCCCAGCTTCGGCCATCATCTTCACTGTACAGATCGATAAACAATCCTACATCAATAACTTCGTAATACAAACTAGCGGAGAAATCGATCGGGAATCAAACCCGAAAGGATTCGATGGGTTTATCGTCTGCAAGGATCACGGAGAGCCGGATCTTAACAACGCCAGAAGATTCAATCTAAACATCCTGGACGTGAATGACAATGCTCCCATTTTTGAACTCAACACTTTTCAAGTGCACATCGAAGAAAATCTCGCTGTTGGATCTCCGATAATAAGAACGAAGGTATTTTTAACTGATTTTTTTTTATAAATTTCTCACTAAAAAATTCAAATTTTTAGATTTTACATCAAAAAAAATTTTTTTATAAAATCTTAAAAACTTGCTTAATTTTACTTAATCTCCAAAATTAATATGACAGGCAAAGGACAATGACTCCGGCGAAAATGGTGAAATAACATACACGATACATCCTCTTAAGGAAAAATGGAATAACGTTCTCAGTATCGACGAGGAAGGAACTGTTAGAACTGTCTCAAACATCGACTATGAGAAAATGACGAAAATGTTTTTTGATATAACAGCCCAAGACCACGGATCTCCTAGCCAAGTCGGTAGGGCTTCATTGGAGCTGAACATCATTGACGTAGACGAGTACCTCCCTGTTTTTGAAAAGTTTTTCTACAACTTCACAATAACGAAACCTGTAGAGGAAAATTACTTGTTTGGTCGCGTTAGAGCTAAAGACAAGGATTTAACTGAAATTTTCGGTAGAGTTATTTATAAGCCATTCAACAACGGCAACCAAACAAGCTACAGCATCATCAAAGAAAAATTCTCCATCAGCGAGAATTATGGCGAAATAAGAGCCAAAAAAGCATTAACAGAAAGTGGGACCTTTATGTTTTCAATAATCGCCGGCAACCCACCTTCCCGCTGGTTTCCAAATATCAAGGTTGACGTCCTCATCCAAATTGATCTACCGAAGCCCATCATTAGAGAATTTAATGCTCCGGTGTTTCTGTTCCCAAACGAGACAAACTTCACCATGTCTCTCACTGCTGTAGTTGAAAGTAAAACGGTCCTGACTCAACTGATATTGCTCAACCGGCCAGCAAATTTAAATAATGATAATTCAACCGTTGACCTCAATGACAAGGACGTTTCAGTTTCTAGTGACATTTTTGCATTTTCTATAATATCGGGTAATGAGGAAAATATATTTCAAGTCGAACCGCAGACAGGTATCATTGAAACCACCCGAAACATCACACTACCCAAGGTATATCATCTTGAAGTTTTGGCCTACAACGTCGAGGATCCAACTAAAAACTCCTCCATAACTCTAAACCTCGTCATCCATCCCCCTCCTACTCCAGCAGTAACCGGAAACATATTCATGAGAGGCAATGTTGATTTGAACATCATCATCGCCATTGTCCTGGCCTGTTGGATATTCTCCGTTCTTGTTTGTTTAATTGTTTTCGGCGTGAAAAAGCAAGTTGCTTCCATGAAAGGTCAACGCCGGAAAGACAGAAATCGGTACAACTGTCGGTTGGAAACGGTTAGAAACACAACATCCAGCCTCACTAACGGTATCAACAACACAAACACCAACAACACCAACACTTCTAGAACGACCTTCAAAAACCAATCTTCAATTAACGGCAGCCGCGAGAGTAACAAGCTTGACAACATGGACAATTACAGTGATGCCACAGCAAGCCTAATTTACAACAACATCGTCAGCAGCAGCGGAAACAACGGCAGCCGCTGTAGCAGCAGCTTACGGAAGTTCAACGACAAGTTCATTTCTTTCAACGTGGATGACGAGGCTTTGGTTGATCTGCCTCTAACAGACTCCATGCTTTCTTGTCCGGTGTGTAATTGCTTTGTCGTTTTTTAATCGTTCATTTTATTTTATACAAATTCAAATGTCTAATAATGAGATGAAACTTCTAAAAACAAAATAATAGTTCGGCGAGAATTGTTCTCTTCACACCAACCAGCCCTCCATCCAGCGTCCCTTGCCCCATCACGCCTGCCAACAACATCCGCACCAACAAATTCATAGTCCGACACTTCAGCTGCAACAGCAGCAGCAGCAACAACGACAACAGTCTCCACTACAACAAAAGAGTGATCATTACCAGCAGAAAGAAATGGACGAGTTGAATTATTATAACGAGAAACTGAATGACTTTTACAACTTACCTGTCTTCAACGCCGAATCATTCTTACTTTCCTACAACACGGCTCAACAGCTACAACAGCCCCAGCAGCAACAACAGCAGCCATTTTTATTCACAAGGTTTTTTAAATAATTTATTCATGTAGATAAAGCAAATTAGACATTTTACTCTTATACTAAATTAAAATTAAACGGCAGTTAAAACACTTTCTCTCAAGTTTTTTTTTTGAGAGCTACTGCATGTTTTAGACCGGGATCACTTTGCATTTAAACGTGGTCATCGCAACAACAGTACTGGGCACTTTTGCATTTTAATTAAACCATTCAAACAGATTTTCACAAAGATATTTTTGTAAATAACAACCAATCACCCCTTTGAAAGCGTGCCATCAGCAACCTTGGGTCCAAGCACGAACTCGGGGCAGTCCAACATAGGTAGTGGCTTCAAATCCTTCAAACCTCTACGAATGCCCCCGATTGCTAACAAATCTACCCCTGCCTCTCCAAACCATTTGAACCCTTCAACTTTTTTTCCCATCACCTGCCATGGCTACCCGCAGGTTCAATGTCAAACTTTGAAGTCGTGTTTGGATGACGATGACGACGTTAGTGGCGGGTTGTTTGCGTCATTATTAGATGAATTAATGGAATGAATGAAATCATTTATACATCATCAAACATTTTATTTAAAATAAATTAGAATTATCAAAAACATGTTCTCACATTCGTATTTATACTTTTGAAAAAATTTTCCAAAAATCATTTTTTAAGCCCAAAAGAATTTTTGCAAAAGCACATTACCCGTAACAAAAAATTACCTCTCTCAAGATAAAAATACCTCTCTCGATGAACTTGATGTCGAGAAGCTACAGGGAGGTGAGCAAGACCCCCACCAACATTTCGCTGAAGACGACCAGCACCTTGTCAAGTCCCTATGAAGACAACGTCGCCAGCTGTTTGGTACCTAGGAAGAATTCCGAATCGCATTGTTCGTATTTTTGTTTTGTACACCCCGCGCATACATACATACTTGCACGCACACACACACACGCGCGCGCGCTCACACAAACACACACAAACTTTTTAAAATTTAAACATCTACGTTGCTTAAATTATATTGTTTAATTTTAAATATTTCAGTTTGAAAGAGATTATCTCCAAGAAGCCAGTGACAGAAGGAAAACTAAAAGTAGATGAAAAAATTTGTATCGACAACATGTGCGAAATAATAATACACACACACACGCACGCACACCATAAACACACACATACAAACACACAAACACACAACACACACACACCATGCCACATCCGTATCTTACATTAAATCATCAATCATAACCAAAACAATCTATCTTCATTTTTTTGTAAAGTAATTTTTTTCAAATTTTTAAAATGATTTCATTCATTGACTGTTATTTAATTTAATTAATTCATTAAATGTTCAATTAATTTGTCAATTAATTTATCAATTAATCATTTAACTCGTATATTGCTCATTAATTTGTTTTTAAGTTTTCAACATCTTATATATCAATTATATCTATGTATCTTGTATCCCTTCAATGAGATACCACTTATATTTTGAATTTAAAGTTAGCTAGTTCATACATATTTGATATGCTCATATTACTATTGACAACATACAAACTATTTGTATATACACGTATATTATCAGGAATGTTGCCTTGTTTTAACTTTTATATAAATATATAATCGATTTTGATTGCCAAGAGACCCCAGTCTGTTACATTCAATGTATGTGTATGTGTGTACGTGTGTGTGTTTTTGTGTGTGTTTGACGCATTGATTTGCGAGTTGAATTTCCGTACAATGTTCATTTGTCGTCATTATTATCTCTGAGGAATATTTAGGAGAGATTTGTCAAAAAAATGTAAATTGATTATTTTGATATTTTTTCATTATTACTTACATGGCGATGATATGTATGTGTGTATATGCTTGTCTGAATGGGTGTGTGTTTGCGTATGTGTGCGTGTGTATGCGTGCGTTCGTAGCATTACAATATATTTCAGTACAGTTTTTACAATTAAATACGCCATCAAGATAGTGTTTATGTTTCTGTAACACGTTGTTAAACTTTAAAATAAACATTTCAATAAAGTTTTATTTAAAAATATTGTCGAATAGATGGGAAAAATTAAGAATAAAAAAGAACTTATCACATGCATTCAATTGCGAGTTGACCACTTTTGTAATAAACAACATCAAGTTACATAAAACGGTACACACATCAAAAACATGAATATTAATAACAGCAACTACCTCACTATTAACAACATTAATAACATCATTGTAACGATAATTTGATAAGAAGTTTCCTTATCCATGTTTTATAAATCGTATTGTATCTAATCAATCTACAATGATTTAAAATTGATGTAGTGATAAATAGGAGTGAATGTGAGTGAGATTAACATTACTTATCTCGTCATGTGTCATATTTATAAGTGATGTAAAGATTTTTGTGATTTTACGTACAGATCTGAATGGAGGAATTTGAAAAAATTCGCAAGAGTGAACAGTTTTCATAACTCATCGACGATATTAATTATAAAAACGTTTCGAAAAATCTAAAAAAAAATAATATTTTTCAAATTTCGCAATTCCTCCAAATATTCATTAAAAAATATCATCATTAATCATGATATAAAACAACAAACAATACAGAATCATTTCTCCAAGACCAAAAACTTTTTAGATATACGTCAACTTATCACTCATCAAGTTATCATTAACTTGCATTGAGATATTATCATTAAAATTCGATTTTCTTATAGAATCAACATTAAAAACATCTTCTTGCCCTTTCAGAATGTTTGTAGATTTGACACTCCTTAACCTTTTCAGTGTGTCTACGTATTTATTTTCAGCAGTCAGAACTGGGAGATCACTCGTCTGCTCGCCTAATTTTCCGAGCGGGAAACCGTCTTCGTGTTTTTTGAAACGATTAAAAAATGCAGAAAATTTCAGATTCTCCTTCTTCCAATTTATTTTTTTAAAACTGTTATTATTGTTATTGTAATTGTTGTTATTATTCTTGTTGTTGATTGTTGAATATTTTTTGAAAGCCGGCGAGTTGTTTTCCTCGATGTAGATTTTATTTTCCACAAAATTGGAACCGTGTTCGTTCAGACTTTCAACAAGCGATCTTGGTAGGAAGAGGTTTTCAGGGGTTCGTACTTCATCCCGGCTCCCATTGTTCCCGTCGAAAGTTCCGTTTCCGGGGTCGGTCTGTATTGTCTTCAGACTTGGGACAAGTGGGGGAACAGTTTGTTGGAGGATTATAGACAATTTAATTAAATTTTGAACGATTGAATGATTAATTATTGTGATACTCTGTTGCGAACTATTTCAATTATTTGACTTGTAATTAGGATATGTGATTTTCTCTTGTTAAATGCGGCTTGAAGTAAAATGATTTAAAACAATTTTATAATGAAAATTTATTATAACTCTTTGCTAACTGTATCTAAATTCCATCCCGGAAATAGCGCTTTATGAACTAATTGATTGATTGATTGGTTGATTGGTTGATTGATTGATTGAGTGATAACAAAAAGGAAAGTAGTAACATGAATAAAAGAAACAAACGAATAAACAAAAACATAACATAAAAAAGAAATTAAAGGTACTTTTAAAAGACCAAACCACGTACCTGAGGACGGTAGCACAGCTGCAACATTCAAGCCAGGCAGCTCTCACATGTCTCGACAGCAAAACTCGAAACAAAACCAACAACGATCCGTTTAAAATGTTAAAAACGCAAAACACGATCTCCAGAGCAAGGTGGCCAAATTTGGCAGCAAGCAACCCAAATATCCAGGTGATCCCGAAGGATGACACGATCATGGTGTGGTAAATTTTTTGATGTTTGTCTGCTTTCGATATTTTTTTTCCTCGCTTTCTGCTGTTGTCAATGAAATTTTAAAATATTTATCTGTAAAATTGTACTAATTAACTAATCGATTGAATTAATTGCTTAAGGATTTTTATATGATCAAGTTATTTTAATATATTTATTAAAGAATTCTTATTAATACAATTATTAAACCTAATTTTCAGTTATAATGAATCCAATTTAAAACAATAGAAAAGAATTAATTAACTCTTAATTTATTTAATTAATCATTTCAACCAATTATCAAACAACTTTTTAATCAGTGCAATTTTACAGACAAATATTTCAAAATTTTATAAAATACCTCAATAATTAGTAATACCTAATACCTCAAATAATTAGTACCCAAACTAATACCATACCTCAAAACAGAGGAAGTTGATGAAGAAGAATTGAAACGAGCGGATAATATAAGAAGAATCAGAGACAAACAGGTGAGTAAGCTGATCAAAGCCAGGAACCCCGTGTAAAACAGTATCTCATTTTGTAGGGGAGTTCGACAGCTAAAAAATCATTTTTTTTCAGAAACCAATATTTTTTCCAGGTTTTTAAATTTATATTAGATCATAATCTAGTTTTTTTAAATCATGGCATTTTTTTCTAAGTTATAACATAAATTTTTTCAAGGTTGAAATATATTTTTTATTTGTCAAAGCCATTTCCTTTCCAAATTTCAATCTTTTTTTTCATGCCATAGTATCTTACGATTAAATGACAATAATTCACATTAAAAATTGTTAAAACTAAAATATTTCACTAACTATAAATGCGCGTATTCATATCTGTAGACGTCGACCAAAATGCTAACTAATGCTATTATAAATGGAATGCCTGCAGTTAATGGAAAGAAAATTAATGAAAAATATTTAATTATAGGCCTATTTATTAAAAAACTCAGTAATGGAATTAAAAATTAATGTAAATATAGAGTTTAGACTATTAAAATGTGGTAAACTTGATAGCGGTGTAGTGGTTAAAGCGGTTACAAAAAGATTCTCGACTGTGTGTGCGTGCGTGTGTATGTGCGTGCGTGTGATGCATTGTTGTTGAAACCTCTACAATTTTATGAAAAGAGAATTTAAAAAAATGAAAAAATTATAAAAAAATGAACCGCAGAAACCAAACCTAAAGCGCAGAAGAGTCTCAAACCGTAAAAGGAGAAGGAGCTAAGGTACCGGAAGGAACCATCTTTGCCAGACGTCTGCAAGAAGGCGTCAACCACACAGATGGTGTAAAACAGAAAGGTGGACATTAGGAAGAGATGGAAGAAAAACATGAAGGAGGAACACGATGTAGAGTTAGAGTTATACGTATCGATGTTGTTATCTACTTTGTTATTTTCGTTATTATTATTTTGAACTTTGTTGTTAGTGTAACTCATCAGATCGTCATCGTATTCTTCATAGACGCCGCTGTTATAATCGCCATCATTCATTAGGTAGTAGTAGTCCCCGTAAAATCTAACGTACCTCGATATATCGTCGACTTCGTTATAACCGAGATACATGTTCCATCTCGTAGTCGGGATGAAGATGGCGTTTAGAAGGATGGTTGAGAGGTATGTTAGGAGGTTCATGTACTCCTGGCGCTCCTGTCTGTAGTATCTGAGTGGTTAGTGGATGGATGGATGGATGGATGGATGGATTGATGGATGGATTGATAGTTTAATGCGTTGATGGATAGCTAGATTGTATTATTAATAAAATACTCATTCAATGTAAATTAAAATTTATATAATTAATAATAATAATAAATAATAATTTTTAATTTGCAACTAATATATTAAAACTCACAAGTAGATGCCGGATGATATAGATAGGAATGATTGACAGATGATGTTCACTCCGCAGCCAATGTAGCTAACGTACGTTATCGTTTCAAAAATGCCGTACACTCTTTCTTTCTGAGTTTGCTGTCATTTATTAGTGATAATACTAAAGATTAGTTTAAGTCTAAGTATTCAAAAAATTAGGTTTAACAGATTTTATAAGAAAATAAATAAAAAAATTATGTCGGGAGGTTTCAATTTTATATGAAAAATGAAGCAGAAAGTGGAACTTGAAGCCAACCAGGATGGCGTAAGCCCCATGTTTCCTGTACTTGCACGCTATTGTGCTTGCTTCGTTTGAAATCACACCGAAACCGCCATTATTCTTATTCTTCACCATCCACACACCAGCTGGTTGAATTATTTTTTGATTTATGAAAATCTGTGAAAAACTAGAGAAAATTTTTAATTTTTTATGCGGCTCTTATAAACACAAAGCTGCTTAAGAATCGCTCAATTGCTATAACATGTTGCCTACATACGCAAGCACTATATCAGAGGCACGGTTTTTAGGCATTGGACAGACAGTATTTGAACCATGTCAGTGAGCAACAACAACAACAACATCAAGAAATACGGCATTCTTGCCGTCTAAGCTAAGCTAACCAAACCATCGACAAACTAACTCACCATGTTAATAATTTATAAAATTAATGTTAACCTTTGTTGTTCCACAGACCACACACCAGCGATGATAGCTGCTTCTGTTAGGAAACAAAAAAAACATGTGACGAAACATTAGATAAACATTATTTAAACATTTTATAAACATTACTTAAATATCATTTAAACATTAAAACACAAATTAAATGTAATTTAAACACCATTTAAACATGAACTAAACGACAATTAATCAATTTCTCTCGTCATATGTATGAAACACAAACAGCTCTAGTAGATAGAAAACGAGTTAAACATTCACATTTACACATAAGCCCAATCAGAGTTAAGCAAGACCTGATCAGGCAGACAGACAGACAAACAATCATACAAACAAATACATTACTAGCAGCAATAGTAGCAGCGAAATAGATTTAATAGAATCCCGTCATAGCTACACACACACACCACACACACACACACACACACACACACACACACATACACAAACACACACAAACACACACACACCACACACACAAACACACACACACATATCAGCCATCAAACCTTATTTAATGTTTTAGGCAATGGAAAGAAAACCGTTACGTTACATTCTGAATGAGTTGCATTGCCAACAACATCGGCATCGAGATAGCTTGCACTACGTCTGCGCCTTTTACTGTTATTCTCTTCAGCAAGATATATTTGCTGTCGTTGAGAATTTGAATCAAATGACTTGTAGTAGTAGCTGTCGTAGTAGTAGCTGTAGTAGTCGTCCGCTAAAGCAGTAGCCACAAGTACGACATCAGTTATGATTGACATGTTGACGATGACGTTGTCGAGTTGGTACTTTGGGTTGTAGCTTATTATCGGTTTTTGTACATTTAGGACGCCGATCGTTTGGTAATTCCGAAATATTGAAGGCTGCTTGAAGATGTTGATGACGATTTTGTTGAGAATGTTGCTGCTGTTGTTGTTACTGCTGTTGTTGTTGTTGTTGGGAATTAGGTTGTTGTTGATATTGTTGTTAATAAAGATGTACTCAGTTTTGTTAGCCACAAAGAGCTGTGATTCAGATATGTTGATTTGCTGTCGAATTCAATTGAAAATTTATAAAAAAAATTTTTCAAATAAGTTATCTCATATAACGCCATTCTTGTCATTATTATTATTAATTTCTTCTCAATAAATTTTCAGAGGTTTCAGCAATTCAACAACAACAACACACGCACAACACATGAGTGAGTGAGTGAGTGAGTGAGTGAGTGAGTGAGTGAGTGAGTGAGTGAGTGAGTGAGTGAGTGAGTGAGTGAGTGAGTGAGTGAGTGTACATCGCTAGGTGTTTCTCGTTATATTATATTTGTGTTATTTTACTTTAAAATTACAAAAAAAAATATTTAAAGATGAAATAAAGTAAATTAACGACGAATTTGTGAAAATAATATATATAGTATTGTAAAAAAAATTTATAAAAAAAACCTACCAATTTATTAACGACATCATTCCAAAGATAAAAAAAATTGTTAAAAATATTATTATTATTATTATTGTTGTTGTTGTTGTTGTTGTTGTTGTTACTGATAGGAAATATTATGACGGTTGCGATAAAATCATCAGAGGTTAGCGTCAAACTATTATTATTGTTGATAATAACATCCTTGTTATTATTATTATTATTATTATTATTTCTATTAATATTACTGATGTTATTGTTGTCGTTGGTGGGAGTTTTGACAAATTTGACGGACGAGTCTAGAAGCCTGTAAAGAGGAAATTAACAGCCGATAGGAAATTTCAAATAAAATACACTTCATACAAATACATATTATACGCAATGTATATATACATAACTTGTGCAAACATACAAACTCATACAAATATATTAAGTTATACAAAGATACAAACTTGTACAATGATACAAACTTATACAAAGGTACAAACTCATGCAAAGATACAAATTTTTACATTGATACAAACTTATACAAAAATACAAACTTATACCAAGATACAAACTCAAACTAGTATACAAACTTATACAATATACAAACTTTAAATTTGTATCGTTCATTTGGTTTGCTGATTGTATGATCGATTCGTTGACATTTAAGACATTGTTCATTATATCAACCAACAACTGCGAACACTGAAGCATTCGGTTGAATGAATGAATGAATGAGGGAAGGATTGATTGAATGAGAGAATGATTGAATGAGGCAATAAATGAATGAATGAATGAAAGAATAAATTAATGTATAAATGAACGAATAAACGAACAAACCAACCAACGCACTGATCAATGAATGAATTGAACAGATGATTGATTTAATAACCAACCGACCAACTGACTAACCAACCAACCAACCAACCAACCGAATAACCGATCACCGACCGACCAACTGACCAACTGACCAACGGACCAACTGACCAACCGACCAACTAACCTGAAGATCAAAGGAAGGATACTGGACTACACTAGCCACACCGTTGGCTACTTCGACTAAAGTTTCCATGGTGACCATTGTTGGATTCGACGTCTTTATTTTGTACTTTGTTAACGCCTCGTTTGCTAGCAACGACCATGACTGAGAAAAATTATAATAAAAATACTACAAATAATAATAATAATAGTAGTAGTAATAATAATAATAATGAATAATATCAATAATATTTATAATGTTGCATAATTTTAATAGTCAAATAAATTTTTTAAAACTACACATTAGTTTTATCTAGCAATTTGAAAAGAATTTGAAAAAAATTTGAAAACAGATCAAACATTCTTTTGAGAAAAAAAATAACCAACTTTGGAACAGTTACTAAAATTTGGATAGCTCCACGTGACCTGCCCTTTGTTAAGTACACACGACCTCACTGCATACGAACGCATCTTCCAATCACCGACCGAGCCGTAAGGACATGGTGACCTAATTTTTTTGGATTGGTTGGTTGCCGGCCAATAAAATGTTCCGTAAGTAGAACTAACAAGGATGTCGTCCGGGCAAGAAACTAGGAGTTGGTGAATGAATGAATGAATGAACGAATAAATGAATAAATTGATGAATGAACGAACGAACGAATGAATGACAAAATTTAAACCATTAGAAGAAATTAGCGAATCAAAAACAAACAAATAAATAATCAACTGCTGGAATTTGATAAGTACGAAAGCACTTACCAACAAACTGACAGTAAGTACCCAAGTACCCATCAGTGCAGCTGCACTTGTACGAGTTGACGTCATCAAGACACGTGCCGTTGTTCGAGCAGGGATTTGAAAGGCATTCGTTTATTTCAACTCCACAGTTATCACCTGCTCGCATTGGTTCATTACGCTATGTAGAAAGGCTAATAAAAATTAGTGAACGAATTACTACCTCTACCACTATTTCTACTGCTGCTGCTACTACTACCGCTACTACTACAAGTAGTCTATCACTAAAAATACTTTAACTACTACGGACAACAACAACAACAACAATAATAAAAATAAAAAGAACAATTATAATAATAATGATAAGAAGAAGGTGAAGAGAAATTGCAATGAGTGAGGTTCCGACCTTTAAATCCAGGAGTGCAGATGCACTTAAAGAACCCGATGCCAGGTTTGCAAGTGGAGTTGTACTGGCACGGCTGTGAGAGGCAGCTGTCAATCACACTTCGGCAGTCTCCGCCCATGTAGCCCGGCATGCAGTCGCATTTGTAGCCTGATCTGAACAGGTTGACGCAGGTGCCTGTTGAAAAGGGGGTGAAGATAATGAAATGGTTTAATGTGATTGGCTGATTACAAATAGATGATTATGATTGGCTAATTAAAAACGTTATTAGTTTGTGATTGGTTGATTGAAAATCTTCACCTCCATTAAAGCATAATTCCTGACCAATAGTACTGCTGCATTCGTTGACGTCATCGTAACACGTGACTCCCGTTGACCCTGTCTGGCAAGTACATCTGCAACAAACGCGCCAAAAGTTAAATTCCCAGATGAAATATTTACATGATTGTCTGTATCCTCGTTGTTGTGTTGATGGCATTAATGGCATCTCAACTAGCCAAACACCATCAAAAATTCCAATTTAACCGAAATAAACATTTCTCCTTATTTTATCATGTTACTTCTCAAATAAACTGTTATTATTATATGGCTAGAAATATTTTTTTCATGCTATTTAGGCAATAAATTAGAAATAAAATAAAAATAATTTATCAAACAACACCTGAAAGAGTTGACAAGATTGACACAGGTGGAACCAGGCGAGCACGGAGACGACAGACACTCATCTATTTCAACTTCGCACTTGTTTGATGTGTAGCCTGGCATACAGAGACATCTGTATGTGCGTGTGTGTGTGCGTGCGTGTGTGCGTGTGTGCGTGTATTAGCGTGTGTGTGTGTGTGTGTGTGTGTGGTGTATGTGTGTGTTTGTGGTTAAAACACGATTTCATATCTGTTTGATGTGTATCCTGGCATACAAAAACATCTGTATGTGCGTGCGTGTATGTGCATGTGTTAGCGTATGTGTGTGTGTATGCGTGTGATGTGTGTATGTATGTATTTGTGACTCTGTGCAATCCTAATTTGCAAAAACTGACTTGAAAGCGCCGACCAAGTTAACGCACGTAGCGCCATTAATGCAGGGACCAGACAGGCATTCATCTATTTCGTAGTGGCACTGATCGCCCTGGTAGCCAGCAGGGCAGATGCACATGTAGCCGGCTATGGTGTTGAGACAGCGGCCGCTGTTGCGACACGGCGAGGACCTTGGTAGGGGAAACGTTTTGTGGTGGTGGTTGTAAAAATGGGGAGAAAATGGCACGATGGTAAGGATGATTTTAAACATGTGATTGATGAAATAATTGGCTTAAATTTTATAAAATAATATAACAGTATAGTGATGATATTTTGACACGAGAGAAGGTGATGAGCGACGATGCCGATGAAATTAGTGCAAAAAAGTCGAAACAAGTAAATGTGAGTAAAGAAAATTTTTTTAAAAATATAAGCGTGATAAATTGATTTTAAAATAAAATATTTTTTTGACGTAAGATGACGTAATGTGACGTCAAATTGAACGACCAATCAGAAAACATTAAAGATCATTATGATGGCCTACCTACACGCTTCCACTGAAATCTCGCAACGGACTCCAGTCCAGTCGGTATTGCATGCGCACGTGAAACCTCGAGGTAGGTTTGAGGTTATATTTCAAGATGTAACAATTTTATTTTTATTTGATTTTATTTAGAAATAAAATGATTTAATTTGATTGCGATAACGTTTTAATTTGCTGATTGATGTTTAATTCGCCTGCTCCCATCATCATTTATTTTACTACCATGTTATTTCAGGCTGTAGATGAAGAAAGAGAACAAACAGGAAAGAAGAATGGAAAAAGGGTAAAAATTAGAGAGAGAGAGAAAAAAAAATAAGAAGGAAGGGAGAGCGATAGAAAGAGAAAAATAGAGAGAAAGAAAGGGAGAGAGAAAGAGAGAGAGAAAAAAACACAAAAACTTTCAAACAGATGCAAAAATCCAGCCACCTCCATCTAACGTGGACGAGCAGTTGGCACCATTGAGACAAGGATTTGATTGACATCTATCTAATTTGACGTCGCATATCGAGCCGACGTAGCCAGGCAAGCAGATGCACTTGAAGGAGTTGACATTGTTCTGGCAGGTTCCTGAGTTCAAACATGGTCTGCCCAGATGCCGATGGGGTGATGAAAATGAGAATGGTAGGAAGATGAGAAGGATGATTTGGACGAGGAAGAAGATGGGACATTGTGGTCAAAAATTATGCGGAAAAATTATAATTATATAAATACTGCTACTACTAATAATAAAATATTTGTTATAGGTTATTTATTTTTTTAATGATGGAGTGAAGATAATGACGACAACCTTGACTGGCACTCGTCAATATCCATCTCGCAGTTGGCACCTGTGAATCCAGGCGGGCAGGTGCACCTGTGTGTGTGTGTGTGTGTGTGTGTGTGTGATTGATAATAACGTTGACCATTGATGGTAACGATGATGGAGACAAGAATGATATCATTGACGATGATGATAAAAATGATATCATTGACGATGATGATAAGAATGATATCATTGACGATGATGATAAGAATGATATCATTGACGATGATGACAAGAATGATATCATTGACGATGATGACAAGAATGATATATATTATTGACGAAAATGATAAAGATAATGTAAGAAAAATTAGGTGAAAAACAATTATCTATCAAAAATTTAATAGCAGAGTAGAAATATATGAAATTACCTATATAATGATGACGACGATGTTGACGCCAAACATGTGGCGTTGTTGAAGCAAGGATTGGGACTGCAGGGGTGGCTATCTTCACTGCATTGCAGGCCAGTTTTTGTGGGAGGGCAGATGCAAATGTACCCTCCTAGCAATGAAAATTATATTTTTAACGGAAAACTTGTGAAAAGATGTGCTAATACTTAATTCAATTGCTGAATTAAAATTTGTCGTAAATAATTAATTTTTTTTTAAATTTTCCGAAAATTTAATCAAAACTTTAAGTTTTTTACATTTTGATAAATTTTGAAACACTAATACGTTAAAAAAATTACATTAACCGTCAGAAGCCCTATCCAGGCACGTAGCCCCGGAAGCACAGGGGATAGCCTGACACGAATTGAGGGCAATTTCGCACCTGACTCCCGTCCTATCGCTAGTGCAGTTGCACCGGAAGTAGTTTAAACCATCGATGCAGGTTCCTCCGTACAAGCAGGGGGTACTGGAACATTCGTTTACCTCAGTGTCGCAGTCGGCACCCGTCAGGCCCGCACTGCACTGGCATTTGTAGTTGTTGACGATGCTGCATGGAGATTGGTTTTCGGTGTCGTAATTTAATAACAATTAATTTGTTGTGAAGATTAAACTGATTTTTATTTTTTGTTTAAAATTATTGCTCAAAAAATTTGTAATGTTAAATCAAATAAAAAAAAGTTGTATTAGTTAAAATGATAAATTTAAAATTAAGAAAAATTAAAATTTATAACACAAAGCACACAAGGCAATAATTTTCCCTAACGAAACATCCAGAACATTCCCGCCCTTCTCGGGCGCATACTGAACGGACACCCTGTTGAGAATGGAGGACAAAAAATTGAGTTGGACGTCAGTGAGGTGGCAGGCAGATGACCTCTTGCATAGGCCCTGGCCGCAGAAGTTGAAGTTCTGACAGTTACTGCCAAACAGGTCTTGCTGGCAGTTGCATCTACGTTAAGTATAAACGCACTTTTTAATAGTTTTATAATTTTAATTAATTTAGATATATATTTTGTAAAAAAATTGTAAAGAACCTGTCACATAAAAATGTAATTTTTAAATTTGCAATAAATTAGTTGATTAAGAATTGCTAGCGATAAACGAAGCGTAACGATTATGTTAGACCAAATCATCATGTATATTTGCAAAGTTATCAAGTACACATATGGACTTCATGTAAAGAAAGTACAGACTTGTAAGACAAATTGTTGACATCAGTACAGTTGGCCCCATTCAAACATGGGTTCGTTGAGCAGGGACTGTACCTCTCACAATTTCTACCGTAGAAGCCTAGTTTGGTTTCCGATTTTTTTATATAAAACAAATCAAAATTTAATTATTATAATTTTAATTTGTAATAGGTTATTAATTTTTCCTCAAATATTCTTTATTTCCTAATTTGAAATGAAGTTGAAGTTGAATGAAAATGGTAGGTAGGCATGATGAACCTTTCAAACAGTTACATAGGAAATCTCCATCGCTGGTGTTAACACAACTCCCATTGTTAACGCACAATGACGACGACGACGTTGAAGATGACGACGAAGATGAAGATATTGTCACATTATTATCAGGACTTGAAAAGAATCTGCTTGGATCGAGGCAAGGATTGTATCGTTCGCAGTTGACTCCGTAGTAAGCTGATGTACAGGAGCATTTGTACCTCTCCCCACTGTCGTCCATCCTACACGATCCGGAATTTAAACAAGGAGAAAGCGTACAGGCATCAAACTTGTCGCATAGAAGACCGAAAAAACCATCCCTGCACAAACATCTGAATCCGGAATTAGCTTCGTGAGATGAGAACAACATGGAACAAAAGGCGGAGTTTTTGCATGGATTGCTAGTGCAAGGATCTCGGGATGCACAGGTTGGGCCAAAATATCCGTTAGCACACTTGCAAGTGAAGTTGGTGTCGGTGTAGTTGAAACAGGTGGCTCCGAAAAGACATGGGGCGGATGAACAGGGATCAAATCTGTCACATGTAGCTCCGAAACGTCCAACAGTGCACAGGCACGTGAATGCTGATTGAGCTGTTGGTAGGTAAAATTGTTTGATCGTCTTTAGTAATTTGTTTCCAATTTCATTAAAATCACTATGTCTTTATTTCACCACATAATTTTATAGTTTAAACAATCAAGTGAAATTAAAATATTCTTTTGTAAAGTTTGAAACAACTAAAAATTTTAAACGGAAGAGAACCGGTTTGATATCCCGGGACACAAGCAGAACCATAGAGACAAGGACCTCTCCTACACGGATCGAACACCAGACACTGATTGCCGTAGAAATGAGCGGAGCATTGACATGCATAGCCTCCGAACAAAGATGTGTTGGTGCACGAGCCGTTGTTGAAGCAGGGATTGGAGAAACACGAGTTCAAAAAATTGCAGCGTTTACCGAAATATCCGATTTGGTTAGTTTTGTTGTTGTCATCGTTGAAAGAGTTATTGTAACTGTTAACGCAAACGCAAGAAAACTGTTCGGATAGCAAATCGACGTTATAAAAATCATTGCTACTGATGTTGGTGGTGTTGTTATCGCTGTAACGAATGTTATTTTGTGTGCTCGCGTTACCCGATAAGGTGTCAATAACGTTTGAGTAGCAGATTGCAAGGTTCTGACATGGGTTTAGCAGACACGCGTTGAAGTACTGGCAGAGGTTGCCTATGAAGCCTGGCTGGCACAAACATGTGAAGTTCATCGGGTTGGTGTTGCTGTTCACTTTATTTTCACTATCTTTGCTGTTGTTGGTACTAATGTTGTTGTCGATGTATCTTTCATTTACGCTGCTTCTTGTCGAATATCTTGTTGAAAATTTATCTGGCATGACTGGTGGCGCAAATGTTGTTGTTGACGATTGAAATGAAAATGTCGGTAACATCAACGACGGCACTTTGGTTGAACTTTCTTGAGTGAAAAAACTGCTGACCATCGTCGAACTGCTACTCTCACCACCCGCCCCACCACCACTGACGCAGAAACCTGCATTGTAGCAGGGATTCTGGAAGCATGGATCTCTGAACTGACACCTGTCTCCGTAGAACGGTTGCAAACAGTTGCAAGTGAATTTAACGCCAGGACCATTGCTGAGACACACTCCGTTGTTGACGCACGGCCTCATGGAGCAGGGGTCGTAGTTCTCGCAGTTCGTTCCAAACCAGCCAGCTGCACACGAGCAATTGTAGCGATAGTCGCCCAACGTCGTACAGGCACCTCCATTCAGACAAGGTGCCAGGAAAGTGCAGGCGTCCACCTGACGACATTGGTTCCCAAGGAAACCTTCACATTTTTTCAAAAATCTTATCTAATATAATTTGATTCAAATGTTAATGAAATAATTAAGACTTTATCTGAATAGCCAAATGCAAGTTGAAATAAGTTTAAGTTAAATGAATGAGTTAATGAGCTAATTTTATGTTTCATAATGAGTTAATTTTGTATTTCAAAAAATGTCACCAATAAAAAATAAAAAAACTCCAATTGACCTGGTTTGCAAGCGCAAACAAACTGTCCATTGTTGATGTTGATGCAGGTGCCACCGTTGCCACAGACGTTCAGAGCTTCATTGAGGCAGGGATTGTACCAATCACAGGTTAGCCCGCGGTATCCCGCCCCACACTTGCACGTGTAAGAAGGGCTGCTTGATGGGTTGCTGGTGATGTGTTTAGTTTTCCAAATATTTGGCTTATTTGTTTGTATAATTAATTGAAAAATTTAACGAAATAATGTTTTTTTTTAAAAAAAACTCTGATAAAAAGAAATTGATCCGCAAAACGTTTTGGTTTCAAAAACAATGTGAAAATAGTTGCAAAATGTGAATAAAAAATCTTGAAACTAAATTAAACTTCAATTTAATTTAATTAGATTTGAAAACTTAACGATCATCCTAGAATTAAATTTTAAAAACCACATCAACTGCTTCTTACCCGCTGGTGATTGGCTGGCAGGTTCCATTATTGAGACAGGGGTGAGTCCAGCATGGGTCGTAAAATTGACACAACTGCCCGCTGTAACCTCCAGGACAAACACAACTGAACCGTCTTTGTCCATCTGGCCAATTTTTGGTTTGTTTTAAAAAACAATTACGTTAAATGTTTTGTGCTCTGATCTTCCTTATAAACATATCTACCATTTAAATGATCAACATCGTCATAATTTTTTTTTGCATTTATCATCATCTTGAAAACATTTTTCATCTTCATCGTCATCATCATCTTCTTCACCACCATCACCTTCATCGCCATCATCATCTTCATGGTCATCATCATCTTCATCGTCTTCATCCTTCCTCCCTCCACTCACCACTTAGAAAAGAATTAGAAGGAGAGCAGGTAGCATTGTTGAAGCACGGTCTGGTGATGCAAGGATCAAAAACTTGACATCTCTCCCCATAGAAGCCGGGGGCGCAGGTGCAAACGAACTGCAATTCCATCGTTACGAGAGATTGTGGCGATGAAATTGATGATAGAGAAGGCGTAGACGCTGATAAGAATGGCGATGTAGTGAGTGATAGCTGAGGGGATGACGATTTCTTCGCTGGCAAACTTATACAAGTGGCTCCGTTACTACAAGTTTGAGGTAGTAGGCAGAAGTCGATTGTAGTGCAGTTGTCGTCGGTGTAGGGAGGCGTGCAGGTGCATTTGTAGGGAGCGTATATGGAGTTGGGTGCTGTTTGTTGCCTGGCGGGAAACTGCGGATGTTGTGAAAAATTATTCTGGTAGTTGTTTTCGAAGTTGTTAGAAGTTTTGCTACTTGTTATATTAATTTCGTTCTTGTTGACGATTTTAAATACGCTGTTGTTGTTGTTTTTGTTGTTGTTGTTGCTAGAATTGTTCCGGATGTCTTTAAAATTATTTTTATTAGCGTCGTTGCCATTTAAGTTGTTGCCCACACTTCCACCATAATTACCCTTAGATGAAGCAACTGAATCCGTCTCCAACATTTGGTTGGACAGGCCCGTACCACATAACCCGTTGTTGGCACAGGGGTTCAAAAGGACGCAAGTGTCTATAATTTGGCAGCGATCTCCGTAGTAAGCGGAAGGACACAGGCAGATGAAGGATGTCGGAGGGAGTGCCGCGGGAGAGGTACATGTGCCCCCGTTGAAACACGGATTGCTTGAGCACGCTGGATGAAACGTTTGTTGCGTGTGGTAGAGTTAGTCTTTGATGTTTAAAGACAAAATTTATATATATATATATATATATATATATATATATATATATATATATATACACAAAATACATATATATAAATAATAAATAACAAATGAAGAAAATACCAAAATTTTTGGTGGCAAAACTGGTCAGACTCGAAAATGGACCATACACGTTGGTCTGGTTGTAGGTTGAAATGATAGGAGCTATCTTCAATCTGTAGTCTGTGTTCTCTTTGAGGAAAGATAGTGGAGAACAAAGGAGAGATGGTGATGATGAAGAGGAAGAAAATGACGATGATGGTGGAAAAATAACCATGGATGATTTCCACTCCAAACTTTGGATGGAATTCTGCGATTGGTTATATGCCATGTACACAATCACGTACAGTAATGGTGACGACGACGATGATGAAGAAAAAAAAGATGTTGATGATGGTTTTTCCCAACAGATGGTAACATCGTTCAGTGATATATTCGTCACTACAACATTTCTTGGGGCTGGATTAGTGCGGAAAATGATTTAAATACTATTATAACAAAAATTATTATTTTACTAGTACTTTTTTTTGCTACACTCATCATTCCTGTTACAATTTTTAAGATACTACAACCAATAAGTTATGCAATTAATATTGATTGGTTGGCGAGTTAGCTCAATCGATAAGTATGCTTCATTTCGTCTTGTCAGTACGCGTTTACATGGTTCAAATACTAGCTGAGCGAACCTAAAAATCTAGAAGATGCCTATCTCTCATTCTTACCAATAAACTATATTTACGTATAATGCAAAGCATGCATGTGCGTTTCGATGTTAAAATATTCTTTGGAGCAATGAAGATAAGTTAAATTTTTAAGATGGAATACAAGTAAAGATCTATTTATTTCCATTAACTTTTTTGTTATATTAGCGTGTTAAAAATTAAAAGAAAGTATGTAGCATTTGAAAATGAATTGTAATTTTTAACGATTGAAATATGACGTTGAAACAACTATGTTAATAATCACTGTTATTTTATTACTTAAATTTTAAGTTATTTCAGTTCTTAATAATATTCATTCATTTGTTAATTGCAATGTTCCAAAAATCAGTAAAAATTCCTTCCAAGAAACCAGCATTATGTGATTTCGCCCGACCGTTAAAATTATTCCTAAATAAACTCATACAACAAAACAAACCACTGATATCAACAACGTCGACAACCACAGAGATGTTCGTTGCTTGCACTGGTGAACAGTCTGGATTGAATGCCCTGACCCAGATAGCAAAGGTCAAATTAGGGTAAATGTAGTACAGCAGTTCATTAAGCTGGTTTGTTAAGATGGTACCGTTCTGTTGATGGATTGATATAAGGCGATTGATTGCCTGTTGGATGGTTTGTTGAGGAATGTTGTTGTAACTGTTGATAATGTTGTTGTTGGTGTTGTTATTCTTGTTGAGGATGGTTATGTTGACAATTTCAAATTGGATGAAGTTATTGTACTGATCGTCGTCAAAGCCGTCTCTTGAGTCGTCATCTGCAGCGTACAACTCCGTTATGATGAGGTAGTTGTTACTCGCATCCACGTTTTCATTCAGCTTGTTTGTAGTTGAACTGTTGTTGTGGCTGTTTTTGTCAGCATTCTTATTAAAAATGTTGTTATTTAAGTTGTTGAAATCTTTTGTATTTTTGTAGTTGCTGTTTGGCTCGTTAAAATTCTTCGAGAGTGCGTAATTTGCGCTGATACTTCTGTTGAAAAAGAGGCCAAGCCTGTAGACATCTCCACTGGCGAATCTCGGGGCGAATTTGTTGTACCTGGAAATTTCGATGGCGACTGTTGTGACGTAAGAAGTTCCTGATGACGTCGCGACTGTTGTGACGTTGTAACGGAAGTGAAGTGGAGTGGAAGTCGATTTGGTGTTTTTGGTTGTGATGACGCCCGTTGATCTGTCTATGCTGAAATCGAGTTGGTTTTCGTTTAGTAGAAAATAAGATGATTGCGATTTGATGCAAGAGAATGGTGAAGATGAAGAGAAAGAAGATGAGAATGAAGAGGATGAAAAAGAAGATGATAAGTTTGATGATGGTAGTAAAGATGACGCCATCGATTGACATAAAGTTATTTGTCCCACAAACGTGTTAACTGGAGCATCTTGAAACAAACGGAAGAAGTAAGAGGGACTACTGAATCCGGGCTGTTGTGCAGAAACTAAACGAGAGGAGTGGTAAAAATTGAAAAAAAAATTCATTTTTAAAAATAAATTTCAATTATTTTATTTGGCGTTGGCATTTTTAAGTGTTGCAATACGTATATTAAGCATTTCACTATTTACACATATAGTAGCTACCGTTAGGCCTATTAAGTATTTTTTAGTATTCAGAATAAATTTAATGTATAATTATGAAAATATTTTGAATGAATTTTAAAATTTATAAAAAGAAAATTTTAAATTCTAAAGTACCTCTGCCGATTATGTGAATAAAACTCCACAGCCAAATGGTGTAAGAAACTTGTGCTATGGGGAGCATGTTTCTGTAACTGAATGATTCGCTATTTTACAAATCTAGCGGAATATTATGAAAATTCATTCATATTTATATAGTTTAAAAACAATTTCTAAATTAATTTCCAAATCTATGAATAAAATTTGATAAACCAAAAAAATATTAAATAATAGAATCTCGACTGATTTAACGAAAATGTAAGGTAGAAAAAACTATCTTGGTGTTGATACAACTTCTATACATTCATTCAGTTTGTGTTTCCAATGTGGTGTTCTATTTGTTTCTCTTTCATTTTATCTTTCTCTCTCTCTCTCTCTTCCTACCCACTCTTTCTACCCCCTCTTTTTCTCTCTCTCTCTCTCGGTTTTTCTTTTTGCTATTTATTCTTACCTGTTGTGAATTTGCCTCCGTTGGCAAAGTTTCAAGAATTACCAATTAAAGATTCATGTGTGTATGGGTGTGTGTGTGGTGTGTGTGAATCAGTGGTGTGTTTTGCTTGTGTATGTGTGTTTGTGTGTATGTGCGAGTGTTTAGTTAAACTTTGATTGTTGAAAAACATCCAAAAAATTAAATCTAAATTAGAAATTTTTCTAAACGTTATTAACGTTGATACTTAAAAACCTTATTCTGATTTAGGTTTTAGCAGGCTCTAGTTGTCTGATCTAGAGGTTAAAATGAATGATCGTAACTATGCAAAAACTATATATCGTTCTTTGTTTCACGAAATAGGTAAATTTATTTGTTATCTTCAATTGGTCTTACAGTGTGTGTGACTTATGCTTCAAATTTTTTAACAAAATTTAACTACAGTTTTATAATTTTATCCTAATTAACCTAAGTTTATTTTTTATTGCATTGCAACATGCCAATTCAAAAACACGTTTAAAAGTGTTTGATTCGAAAACTTTGCTACGTCTTTTCGATAGTAACATTCATTATCTAGGTGTTGTCTATATTTTGTTATATTTGTTCATTTTAGACTATTTTTTGGTTAGCGGTGATAGGAACGTAAAGTTTGAGTTCTTTGTTTTTTCCGCATATGTTGTTTTTTTATGGAAAGGCTATGTATTACTTTTTGTCAAACTTGTGAGTGAGAGAGCATATTGTTGCTGAATGCTATTTAATCTGATTGAATTTCAAATTGTGATTTGATTTCATTGTTGTAATTTGCGATTCGTTTGTCACCTAATGAAGCAAAGTATCTTTTTCTTTTAAATCATATCAAAAGAAATGCGAAACACAACCTTCTGACATTGTGATTTGCATATATTTAGTTGTGGGATATTAGGTTCCAGTTATTTATGATTAGAAACTCTGTGTGTGTAAATATTTGAAAGTAATATTTTGTAGTTTAACGGTTTAGTTTTTTAATTATAAACTACAGCAAAAATTTGCAAAACTAATGAAGAATTTATTCAAAAAACACTTCAACTATAGCTCACAATTTCAAAAGTTTAAATTTTATTGAAAGTCTATAAAAATTTAATTTTCAAATTGTCAATTTAAATGCAAATTGTAGCATTTCAATGTCACTCAAGATCAAATTCACAGAGTGCGCACATGTCGAGTTCGCAGTCGTCGTCGCCATTATCGCCCCACATTGATCTTCCTCTAACTTTCAAATTATCTTTGGAGTGATGAGCAACAAGATCTTTCGACTGATCAGCTGATCTCTTTGAGCGAATAATTCTAGTGGTGCCTCCTTCCTCGTTGTATTCTTCATCGTATTCTTCAATTTCTGTCCAGGATCTGGTGAAGGTGGTGGTCATGTACACTTTACTTCCTCCAGCCAGTTGGTTCGTCAAGACGGAATTACCTGAAACTGATGAACCACCAGACGTACTAGATAAAATTTTTACACCTGAAGAAGCGGACCCACCTGAAGTTATTGACCCACCAGTTTTGTATGAGCCATCAGAAACTGATGATCCACTTGAAATGGATGATCTCCCGGAAATGGATGATCCTCCTGAAACGGACGTACCAGCTTTGTTTGATAAGCCTGATAAAGCTGATCCTCCTAAATTCATTGATCCACCCAAATTCATTGATCCACCAAGTTTGACTGACATACCTGTTTTGGCTGATATATCAGCTTTGGCTGACCCAGCCTTTTCCATTCCATCTAAATTTACCCGCATATTTCCATT